CCGCCCTCCTCAGACAGTTCTCCAGCCACCGCAGGGGCCCGGCCAGGCCTGGGGACAGCAGGAGGTGACACAGGGTCCAGCCCTGGAGCCGAGCCCAACCAGGGGGGCTCAGAGCCCCTCGCCCACCTTCCTGATGCAGACGCTGAGCCAGACCCTGCCCAGCCCCTTCCTCGGGTGCCCAGTTCTCCTCCATGGGGCCTTCCTCCACTTCATCCTCCTCCTCCTCCTCGTCCTCCTCCTCCTCGCTGTCCTCATCCTCTGCTGAGCTGTCCTGGGCTGGCACAGCCGGGACACCGGCGGCAGCCTGTGGGGACCAGCCGTGTTCGGGTGCCTGGGGTGGAGCAGCACCCACTGGGCACAGCCCAGGACCCCCCAGCCCCCCTTTTACCGTCCCAGGGCCGTGGCCGTGGCTCTTTCTCCGGCGTTTCTTGTACAGCTCCTTGCGCTCCGACACCAGCCCCAGCCCCAGCAGCTTCTCCACCACCCGAGCCCGCGACCGCCGCGCCGTCAGGTGCTTCATGATGTTCCCCAGGACATCTGTGGGGCAGGGGGTCAGGGTGGGGGGCTACAGAGGGGGCTCCTCCCCCTGCTCACCCCGGCCCCGCTCACCGTCCGAGCCCTGGAATTCCTCAAAAAGCCGCGTCAGCTCCTCCTCCTGCTCCTGAGTCCACAGCACGATGCGGGTGCCCTTCCTGGGGGGGGACACGGCTGTGGGTCCCTGCCCGGGGTGAGGTGGGTCCCTGCCCCGGCCCGGGGGTCCCCCGTGGGGATCCCTGACCCACCTCTCCCGTGGGAAGTCCCTGGCACTGCTGGCCAGCCCCATCCGCACCAGCTGCTTCACCACCTGCCTCCGCGTCCGCCCGGGAGTCGGGAGATGGGCCAGGATGGCAGCGATGACGTCCTCACCTGGGGAGCAGGAGGTGCAGGGATAGAGCCCCCCCTGCCCCCCGGGGGTCCCACTGCCCCCCACCCCGGGGTCCTTTGGTACCTTCCACCTCCTTGTACTTCCAGTACAGCTCCCGCAGCTCCTGCTCTTCCTGGGGGGTCCAGGGGGGGACCCGGCTCCTGGGAGCCCTGGGCCGAGGCAGAGGGGGGGTGAGGGGAGAGGAGGGGGGTTTTAGGGGGTTACAGCCCCCTCCCTGACCTCACTCACCCCTCTCCCTCCTGCAGGGAGCCGTAGCCCTTGGTCATCTCGTAGACGGCCGTCGGGTTCTTCCAGAAGAGCAGCTCCACAAAGGCCTTTTTGTTGGTGGCCGCCAGCGCAAAGAACTTGCCCAGGATGAACTTGGCCAAGGCCACCAGCTCCTGGGGACAGCGGGAGGGACAGTGGGACCGGGGGACGTGGGGACACAGCAAGGCCGGGGACGTGGGGACAGACCCCGCCCCGGGGGGCTGGGGGGTCCCGCTGACCTGGTGGGCGCCGGCCGCGGGGTCGCTGAGCAGGCGGTGGAAGAGGGCGAAGAGGGAGAGCTGGAAGAGCAGCGGCTCCATGCGCAGGTCGCGGGCCAGGCGGTGCAGCAGCCGCGCGGCGCAGTGGTTGGTGCGGGGGCTGTTCCGCGCGTACCCCCGGAGCAGCAGCACCAGCGCCCGCACCACGGGGGCACAGGCGAACCTGCCACGGCCCCCCGTGAGTGCAGCTGCCCCAGGGAGGGACCCCCCGTGCGCCCCCGGGGCCACCCAACCCCTCTCACCGCTTCAGGTAGTCAAGGAAGTTGAATTCCTTCTCTGACACTTGCACTGTCTCCTCCTCCTCTTCTTCATCCTCCTCTTCCTCGTCCTCCGGCTCCTCGGGCTCAGGGGGTGCATTCCCTGCGGTGAGACGTGCTGAGGGTCCCCAAAGCTCTCTCCCTTCTGGCCCAGAGCTCTCCCCCTCCCTGGTGCCAGAGCTGGGGACTCACGGGGCAGGGGAGCAACGAGGATCTCCCGCAGCAGCCGGGTCTCCTCAGGCGGCCCCGCGTCAGCAGCTCCGAACACGTCCCCTTCGGGCCAGACGTCCCTGGGGGCGGGGGGGACAGGCTGGCACCGTGTCCCACACCCCGGGGCTGGGATGGGAATTGCGGTGCCGGTACCTGGCGGAGCGGA